CCATGTAAAAATCTTCATCATTCAAGACTCAGCTCATATGTTGGTTTCTCTGTGCAACGTTCTCTGACATTTCCCACCCACTCTCCCCAAACCTGTCCTCTCCTTACACCTCTCCTCTGAGATCCTATTATGATATTTTGTTGTCTCTGTTTCAGTTGGGATTGTAGACACATCTGCACTTTCAGAAGTCATTAATTACTCAAAAAACAAAAGAATATCCTATCCTACACATCTAGGAGTTATTAATACCATGCTGCTTAGTACATAACTGAGTGTTTAAGGAGCTTATCCTGCCCCAGAGTTCTGTGTTTGTAACCATAAATCTATTTGTCTATTTCCCACTATCAACAAGATTGAAGGAAAGGCTAGAGAGCTTCACCAGTACCCAACAAATTTCCCTTTTATCTCCCTGTCAACCATTCCAGCCCCACAGTCCACTGCAATACTAATCCCTTGTGACCCTCTTCTCCAGATGGTCTGATTTACCTGCACTGCAAGTAGGAGAGGATTCTTCTTGACTCTTTTGATGCTTCCAGATTTTTATCTCTCCTTCCCCTCTAAAGACCATTTTTTAAATTCAGTCTTTCTTCAAGGAAGAAGGTAGTAGTGAAGAAAGAAAGAACAAAGGAAACACAATTCATTTGTCTTAGGTTACTGTTGAAAGCTCTCAGTATGCTAAGCCTAATGTATTCCCACATACTCCCATTACAAGGATAATAGGAGATACCTCAGAGCTTTGCTGCACAAAATGGTAACCACTATGCACATGTGACTTGAGCATTCAAAATACGTCTTTCAAATTGATGTGTTCTCTAAGTATAAAAATTTCCATATTGATAGGAACAAAAATGAATGCAAAATACCCTGGTAATGATTTTATATTGATTACACTTTGCAATGCTATTTTCAATATATTGAGTCACTATTGAACAAAAATTAATTTTATTTCTTCGTTTTAATTTCTGTGGTATCTAGAAATATTTAGATGATACATGTGGTTTGTGTTCATGGTTCCTCTGGACAAGTCTGCTTCACATTTGTATGTCCATATCCTAGAGACAGAGCATGGCCCTCCCCCACCACCAAGCCCCAGGCACATCAAACTCCTGCTGACAGTTCAGGGGATTTCTGATCCAAGGCAAATCCAGCTGGATTCCATTATTCCTGAAGAAAGGGCAGCACTGAGCAGCCTCTGACTAAAGCTGTTCACCTACAAACAGTTGGCACCTCAGTGAATATGACCTTATATTCTTTTGAAGGACCCAAAATGACTCATTTCTTTCATTTTACCCCTAACAATTTACAGCTTATAACAGTTATGTCCAGCACACAGCAAGAAATTCTCTGAGATGGAGGTCTGGGCTCTGAAGAATAGTGTGGCTTCTTCTTAAAGACTTTTCCCCCTTGCATCAGAATGTAAACCAAAGGGACACCATGGAGCATGCAGCACTGCTGGGATTGTGCAGTGGAGTTGACTCCTGGTTCAACAAAAGCTTCTGATGTCTGTGTCTTTCATTATTGAGGAAAAGCTGTAACAGCCATCAAAAAAGGAATAATGCTCACCCAGACAAGACCACAGCTGTGAGTCTTGCTAGAGAAGAGTGGGGGGGGCATTAATAACCTTTGCTTTTTCAAATAGTGTTTCATGTGATCCCGCTTAGTTCATATAGAATCCTGGGAAATACTTGTTTTATTTTTTAAGTTTCTTCTTCATTAGTGGATGTCTGTGATACACAGTGACTACCTTCGTGGTCAGGGGCTGGTGCATATACATATGGCATTTTAATAACTTTATTTCACTTTCCTTCCTCATCTTCTCTTCCCTACCCCCAGAACTCTTCTTATTGCCACAAAGTTAGTTTCCCAGCCTTCTATCCTTTATTTTGTTCTTGAAGTTATCCATATTTTGGGTTTCTCATATAAGAGAAACCATGCATGCTTAACTTTCTGTATCTGATTTACTTCATGCAGCATTATTGTCAAAAGTAGATCTATTTGCCATAAATGACTCAAATTTATTCTTCTTTATGACTGAGTAGTACTCTAATAATTGTATATATCACACTTGCTTTATCCATTTTTCTGTTGATGGGCACAGAGCCTGCCAAATTGAAAGATGTAGTTATTTTGAGTTGTGCTGCTATAAACATGAGAAACCAAAAAATATAAATAATGAGCATAATAAAGACAGATAATGAGAAATAGGGAGACAGATTTCTTTCAAAGGGGAAAGGGGCCAAGAGATGGAGGGGAAGAGAAGAGAGGTGAGGGGAGAGGGTGAGAATGAGTGAAGATGTGTCAGGCAATGAGCTAACTCTCCACAAGAGAGTAATCTTATGTGATGCAAACATCTGCTCATGAAAGTTTTTAAAAAAGAAATTTTGAAAACAATAATCACACAAGAACCATGAGTGTGCATATGTGATTGTAACCTGATAACTTTCACTATATCAGGAAGATACCCAGAAGCAGTGTAGAGGGGTCAAATGAAATTTCTATTTTTAGTTTTTTGAGGAATCCCCATATTGATTTTCATTGTGATTGTACTTATTTACATCCCCATTGACAATGTAGAATTGTTCCTTTTTCCCCACAACCTTTCCAGCACTTATTTTTTGATTTGTTGGTGATAGCCAGGAAATGCTCCTTTTAAACGTAAGAATGATATTTCTGATTTGTTACAGTGGAACCATAAATCAGCCATCAGTATTTCTGCTATGAATCAGATTTGTAGCATAAATCTTTCAGAAGACAAGAGAATAAAAGGAAATATAGCAAAAATAAATCTGTTTTTATTTGAATTTATATAGACCTCCTTAAAGAACTAAGGAATTTATACAGACCTCCTTAAAGAACTTATATAGACCTTCTTAAAGAACTAAATAGAATAGAACTCTGGGTGTCTTTTTATAATTTTATGAAAATAACAGGATTAGCATTTGAAATTTGAAAACCATAAGAAACCACTAGTATTTATGAGCCTCCTAACAATGACAAGTGCTAATACATTTTGATGAAACTATTGTCAATAATAAAGGATAATTTTTGAGGGTCAGGCACTGGTAGAAGCGCCTTTACATATTAACTCATTTAATCTCAGATACTCCATGACATAAATAAGATATTAAAATAATCTCTAATCAAAGTTTGGAAAACAAGTATCAATTTAAGCAATTTGCTAGTAGCCAATTGTTTAGGGATAGAGACAACTTTTGAAGCTCAGTAAACTGTATGCACCCAGAGTTGTTTTGTTTTACAGCTCTTTTTTCTGTGCACCTTTTTCTGAGACTGGGATTAGACAGTACATAACTCCACTTTTTAAAGTATTTGAAGGCACCATGCTTTCTCTTTTTTTTTTTGTTTTGTTTTTTGTTGTTGTTGTTTTTCTCCGGTACCGGGAACCAAACTCACGACCTTGTGCTTGCCAGGCAGGCGCTTTGCCGCTGAGCTAAATCCCCAGCCCCTTTTTTTATTTCTTTTGCTTTCTCTTGTCTTACTCTTTCACCATGGACATAGTGTCGTTTTACCACACTATTATTAATGGAAGCATGGGTTTCTATTTCTATAACATACCACAGTTCTTAGCCACGTAGGTGGTTGGGGAACATTGGAGTCTTTAAATTAGATGCTAAAATGTGTTAATGTTGTCTCAGTTTGGCTTTATTTTCCATTTTGTCCTCAATAGCAAAGAGAAAACACTAGTCTGTGGCACTCAGCCTAACTACTTTCCAAGAAGTATAACAAAATCATATGAACCTGTCATACCCTCCCATGCTGATATATGACATTCTCAAAATAAAAAAATAACAGTAATTGCAACTATAACCCTTAATATTTTACACACATATTTCTTCACACTTAGTTATTCCATAGTATTCTGGTAAGAGAAAAGACTACCAGCAAGAAGAGGAATGTGACATCTACATGAACAATCATTCTTACATCCTTTCCATGCAGTCTCTTCTAAATTTTTTCTCATTTCCTTCCGATAGAGCTAGACTTCTCTTTTGCAAATTCTCTGCAGCTAGTTTTGGTCCTGTGATATTGTTCAAGTCAGGTGAGTGGGTGGCAAGCAGACCCTCCACAGCTGTATTTCTGTTTCTTTTGTCCTGCATGTATGAAGCTTGGAGATGCAATAGCTGTTAATAAAGATGAAAGAAACAAAAGTTGTCTTTAAAAAAAAAAAAAAAAGAGCAAAAACCTGGTGTCTTTGGTATAACTGAGTTATGCTACCAGCAAGGCACTTGAATTCTTATTGCATGAGGTAAGCCTTACTTGTTTACTGGCATTTCCTTTACTCCAGGTGAAAGCCATGTCTCAATGATAGAGTGGATATCAACACTTTCTATGTTATACTGGCAACATATATTTCAGTCTGTGAAATAATCTTTCATCTTTTTTAGTCACTGAAGAACTTTTATCACTATAATGTCATTGTACATAGTGATCTATTTCTTTGTAATTCTTAGCATCACACTTAAAAAGAGACCTTTTCCCTTCAAGTTGCTAATGTGATTGAGTTTTGCACATTCAATTCTTTAGTACATGTGGAAATTTTTGGTAAGCAATTTGCAAATCTCTAAGCAGTCCATGATTTGAGTGGTCTGTCAGAAATCTGAGATAGAAGTGAAATATTGTATAAACAGTATCATGCACATTGTTCTGGAGGATGGTAGAGCTTTTATCAGATTTTTCAATAGAATCTGTTGCCAAGATGCATGAAGGACATTATCTCTTCTAAGTTATTTCTTCTTATTAAAAATATTAATGTAGTCAAACCAAAATATAAACTTTTGGACTTTAATAAAATCTCTGCAACCAAGTTTTGATGAAGAAAAAGAATCAAATCCATGTTAGCATTCCATTTTAAGAAATTCTGTGAAAGATTTATGCTAAATTTAGTACCATTTTTCCTTTTAAGCATAATTTTTCTTTTTTCTTTACAATAAAATTCAAAAGAAGTTTATCTTGTCAAGATTTCTCCCACCTGGGAATAATTTTTAAACTTTACAGAAGAATTTTCTCAAGGAAATCTTCATCTCCTTATTCCTGAGGCTGTAGATCAGAGGGTTTAACAGTGGAGTTGCAATTGAATAGAACATAGTCACAAATTTCTGCAGGCCAGGCTGATTGGCTGCCCCAGGGCTTACATACATCACCATGACTGAGCCATAAAATAGGGACACCAATAGTAGGTGGGAGGCACATGTGGAGAAGGCTTTTCTCCTACCTGAACCTTTGGGAACCTGAAACACAGCTTGAAGGACCAGAGTATAGGACACAAGGATATAGAACAAAGTAGCTAGCAATATCACAGCACTAAAAGTGCTGCAAGTCAGAGTTGTCTTAGGGACTGGTACACATGATACAGCCAGCATTGCCCCCAGATCGCACAGGTAGTGATCAATGACATTTGAACCACAAAATGGAACTCGGGAAATAAGAGTGGCAGGTGTCACTAACCAGAGGAAGCCACCCATCCAACAGGCAGAGACAAGGGCTCCACAGACTTTTTTGGTCATTATGATGGGATAGTGTAGTGGATGGCAGATGGCAACATATCTGTCAAATGCCATGAGGGCCAAGAAGAAAAGTTCTGTGGCACAAAGAGAGAGGAAGACGTAGAACTGTAGGATGCAGCCATTATAGGAGATGGTTTTTGTCTTAGAGAGAAAATTGAGTAACATATTAGGCACATTGGAATTAATGTAGCAGATCTCCAAGAAAGAGAAGTTGGCCAGTAATGTATACATGGGAGTATGGAGTCGCTGGTCCCACCACACAGCACAGATAATAGCACTATTACCCAACAATGTCAGGATGTAGACGATAGAGAAAAAAATGAAAAGGAGAATTTCTACTTCTCGGCTACACAGGAAACCCAGAAGGACAAATTCATGAATGACAATCGTGGCATTATTACCACCTGAAATATACATACCTCTCTAACATATGAGATGCACAGACATAACCAGAACTATGCTTTAAGAATCTCCTATTTTATTCAGTTCTTCATAAAACCTCAACCTCCTAATTGGAAACAGACAGTATTTTATAACTAGAAAATACAATGGAACAGCAACATTTAGTCAGTGTGGGGAATTTTATCAAAACAGCATAGTTGGAAAATAAATAGGAAAACACAATTTGATGTTTTGCTTTAAATATTCCCTCCAAAGCAGTTCTTCCCAATTTTATCCTATAAAAGAGAGATGGAGATGAATCATTATCACAGCTGAATTGGCCACCTTCATTTAACTTAATGACAATTAATAAATGAGGAAATGTATTGCTCGTGAGCTGTGTTTGAATTAGCTCATTACTTACATCCTAAGTCAGAATCATAAAAACCATAAATTCCATTATTTAAGTACATTGTTATACACAGTACGTCACAATAATATATATCTCTTAATAAATTAAATCATTTATTAATTAACTAATCTTTGTTTAAAACTCACTTCTCACTTATTCTAGTAAGCACACCACCACCATCTTTAAAGAATTGCTGCTGCAATGTAAGAGGGGACAAAGAAGTTACAACTCAAAAAACTTGTTTCAAAAGCTTTGGATCGACATCTTCAATTCATTATTTCATCCACCGAAATGTGAAGGCAGTACTATTGAATTAGGAGTGCATATCTACAAAATGAAAGAGATAGTAAATATCTGACCATCAATTCAGTAATTGCTAGTCTCGATTAAGTAGTATAATATGTGCTTTTGAAATGTCCTTTGTAAAATCTTCATTCCAATACTCTAGAGTATTTCAGTCTTATTTGAAAACTTTGCCACTTTACTGTATTTGAGACTATCACATGCTTTAGAATTTATTGGAACTGGCTCTTCACCCATCCATTATTTCTAAATATTTACTTTTCCTCAGCTGTGACTTTTTAAAGAAAACATATAAAACAAAATTTGAAAACAAAATAATAGGGGAGTAACAATAGTGAATATATTGTATATTGCTATCTTCAAAGTATTTACTCAGGGTGCAAGATGCAGCATGGAAAATTGTTCAAACAATATTAGCACAAACTTTTCTCTTCAATGAGCTAAGAAGAACCAGTACTATAAGTATCTTAACTATCTTGTATTTTTTATTTTAAAGAGAGTAGTAAAAAAAAAAAGAAAAATAGCAAAATACAAAATAAATCAAGAACATTAAAAATGATACAGGTTTCAAACCAAATGATAGGAATTAATAGTGGTTGTTACACTTCAACGAAGTTGCTCAGATTACCAGATGTAAGAATGGAAGATTGATCAAACCATTAAAGAGAATAAGAAAATAATAATTTTTTAAAAAACATTAGAGGAGGGCTGGGGATTTAGCTCAGCGGCAAAAACGCCTGCCTGGCAAGCACAAGGTCGTGAGTTTGGTTCCTGGTACTGGAGAAAAACCACAAAAAAAACATTAGAGGCAATACTGAGTTTCACTAGACAAGGTGGTATAAATTCACCAATTGTTGTTATATTGCATATTGTTGTCTTCATATCAGTTGCTCAGATTACTAGATATAAGCATGCAAAACTGATTAAAATATAAAAAACTTAAGCATTAACTGTTCCTTTCAATAAAGCACCAGACATCAGCAGTGCAGTTAGTATATATATATTTATATATATATAGAGAGAGAGAGAGAGAGCCTTAGTTCTTTCTTTTTCTTCTTTCCCCCATCCCAGTTGTTCCTTCCTTTGAGCAATATTTTTCTTTCCCCACTTTCTCTTTCCCCTACCCCAGTTTCTCTTTCCTTTTGAACAATTTCTTATTGTGTGGTAATATGTTTTTTACTTTTATTTTAAAGAGAATAAAATATTAGGAAAAACTGATACAGAATTTCAAAATAAGATGATAGGAAATTAACAATGGTTCCTATATTGCATATTTTTATCTTCAAAGTTGTTCAGATTAGCAGATACAGGCATATAAAATTGATCAAACAATTAGGCATTAATTGTTCCTTTCAATAAACCAATAGAAATTAGTAGTACAATTACCTTAACTATCTATATATCTATATCTATATCTATACCTGTCTATCTCTATATATATTTTTTCCTTCTTAATTCTTTCAGAAAGATAACCAAAAGGGGAGTAGCTGTGTTGAATGAGACCACTATTCTTACTTTTTCGAGGAATCTCTCTACTAATTTCCACAGTGGTTGCACCTGTCTACACTCCCACCAACAGTGGAAAAGAGTTCCTCTTTCCCAAAACCCCTCCAGCATTTGTTATGGGTTGATTTCTTCATGATAGTCATTCTTTCTGGGGTGAGATGGAATCTCAGTGTTGTTTTAATTTGCATGTCTCAAATGACCAATGATGTTGAACATTTTTTCATCTATTTATTTGCAGTTTGTATTTCTTCATCTGAGAAGTGTTTATTCATCTCAGATGCTCATTTTTGAATTGGGTCTTTGAATTTGGGGACCTGATTGTTTCAATTTTTTATATGTTCTAGATATAAAATTATTCCCACTCTATGGGCTTTTTTTTCACTCTGTTGATGATTTCTTTTGACATACAAAAGCTTTTTAATAAGATCAGATCCTTGTTGATTCTTTGAAGTACTTCCTATGCAGTTTGGGTTTTGTTCATGAACTCTCAGCCTATCCCTATGTCTTCAAGATTTCTACCTACTTTCTATCACGTAGTGTTTCTGTTTTAACATTTAGATCTTTGATCCATTTTGACTTTAATTTAGTGCATGGTGATAGATATGGGTCTAGTTTTAGTCTTCAGCACTTGGAAAACCAGTTTTTCCAGCACCATATATTAAAGAGGCTATCTTTCTTCCAGTGAACATCTTTGGCCCCTTTGTCAAAGATATGGTGCCTGACTATGTTTGGAGTTGTGTCTGCATCTTCTATTCTGTTCCACTGAACCTTAGGTCTGTTTTTTTGTCAGCACCATACTGATTTTATCACAGTAGCTTTGTAGTATAATTTCAAGTCAGGGCTTATGATGCCCCCTGCCTTGCCTACAAAGGCCATAATTACTTTCAATATTCTAGTTCTCTTCTGGTTCCAAATAAATTTTAGGAATATTTTCTCTAGTTCAGTGAAGTATGCTAATGGCATTTTAATTGGGGTTTCATTAAATCTTTATAACATCAATTATGACTTTCAACACATAAAGTGTATTGAAAAAAGTAGGGCCCTTGACATCTTAATATTTTTAGTGGGAAGTCAAAATGACTTTTTAAGAATAAAGAATCATTACAACCAAAAGCGTTTTTTTTTTCAATTTAAACCTAAACAAGGACTTAAACTGTCATTTCTCCAAAGAAGATGTTAACATCACCAAGGAAATTCAAATTCAAACTTTAATGACATATTGTACTTGTCATGATAATCGTTAGTAAAAATAAATAAGAAATACTCATGAAAATTGGAAATTTGAACATGCTTAGCATAAAACAGTAGTTATTATTTTCCATAATTTGCTTATTATGGAAAATAATATGTAAATTCCTCAGAATTTTTTAGAAAGTATCATATCATCTAGGAATTTATTTCTGGGTATATATATTCATAAAAAGTAAAATCAGTATCTTAAAAAAGATATCTATACTCCTATGTTTATTGAGGCACTATTCATAATTACCACAGTATAGAACAAACTAAATATCCTTCAAAAAATGGACAGATAAAGATCTTTTGCAAAGGAGAAGAGGATGAAGAGATAGTAAGGGGAAGGGAAGGGATAGGAAGGAAGTAAAAACAGAGTTAAGTTGTGTATGTACATGTGTCACCTGCCCTTGGGGAATATAATAGTTATGTATGGCGAACTTGTACAAATAAAAGTAAAAATTAAAAAAGAAAATTGTATATACCATAAAATTGAGTACTACCACTCATCCTTAGAAAAAGAAGAAAATCCTGTCATTTGTGACAATGTGAATGAACCTGGAGGACATTATTCTAGGTAGAATCAACTAGTCACAAAAGGAAAAATATTATATGACTTGACTAATATTTGAGATGCATAATAAGATCACACTGATAAAAATAGAATGTAGGATAATGTTTTCCAGGCAAAAGAGGAGGGAGAAATATGGAGTTGCTGTTCAACAAGGACAAAGTTTTAGCTACACAATATAAGTAAATTTTACAGGTCTGCTGTATGACCTATAATTTTTTTTTGAGACGGTCTCAGTATGCAGTTCAGGCTGGCCTTGAGCTCACTTTGTAGCCCCAGCTGGTCTCAAACTCACAACAATCCTCCTGCCTCAGCCACCCAAGTGGAATTACAGGCATGCACCACGAAGCCTAGCTGTATGACCTATAATTAACAACAGTGTATTTTATGCTTAAAAATTGTTAAGAGAGCAGATTTTCTTAAATATTCTTACCACAAAAAGTAATAATGTTCACAAGAGAAAATCCATATCAGCATAAGCTATTACAATGAATTATATTAGGAAAAGGCTGATAAAACTATACTGATAAATTATATATAAATGAATTTATCTACATGAGAATAAGTATCTTTATCACATGACAAAATCATAAGTATTTGGAACATTCTGTATAGAAAATTGTTTGGGAATTAATTTGAAATAAAAGTAATTATTAAAAAGTAATTATTCATCATGAAAAAAGTTAATGAAGTAACCAAATAAAGAATAAAGGGTTAGTTTTACCACCATTAAGTCATTTTCAATTTTTGCAAAGATGAAGGGTCAGAATTCAGTAAAAGCTAAACTGAAATCTTTCTCTGTTAAATAGGAACTTTATGACTTGGGAAAATGACTCTGAGTTTTATCTTCAGGATAATATTAACATCTATATCTGGAGTCAATGAAGCATTAAATGTGATCATGTTAAAGTATCGAGTGCAATACCTGACATAACCTAAATATTTAGTGTGTGCAGACTACTTTCATAGAAATAATTAATAAAAGCAAAATGTAAACTCATTCTTTCCAAA